TAATGAACAAATAAAAGCGGACTCTTTTATAACCAATCTTTTGACGGTCAATCTTTATGCGGCACAGATAACTTTGTTAATCCTACCACTAAGGAAAATAGCAACCAATAGGGAGTTGCAAAAACTTCTAGGTTGTCTCTATAAACTCACTATCTTTCTAATTTCTTTTTAATGACTTGATATGAGGGACCACATAACTTGCTGTCCACATGAAACTTGTGAATTTACGTAACTTCATTGTTGTGAATCTACTTCATTACCATCCTAAAAGCAATTAAACCTCAAAAATCAGTCGGTTCTACTGAGTCTGTAACAGAAAAGCAGCTGCTGTAGCACATTAAAATCCAGATGATTATCTTAGACCGTAATTCTACACCAGCATCAGAGGATAATTTAATTTATTTCTTCATCTGCTACCGCTCTTATTTCATCCGCTACCGCGCTCGTTTCAAAAAGGGCAGTGATTTTTGTACTTGTTGTGATTATACTTGCTTTGGGTATTTATTGCACCAAAAAGCATTCTTGGTCTACTTTAACTAAAAGTACTTTGGTTAAAGTTTGAAATTTTTTGCTAAATCTTCTCCTGGGTATTTTTTTACTTCTTGACTAACACTTGTGTTCACATTGTGATCATTTTGTGTTTTTAAACCTTTTAAATCGAACTACAATGGTTGGTAAGACTCACAAATGTGGGCAACCAAATTGTTTGTTGCCCGTTGAGGAGGAAATGCAATGTGACGATTGTAAAAAGTGGTACCACAAAATGTGTACACGCCTAAGTCCGACGGCTTACAAAAGATGCTCGAAGCCTAACTCGCATTGGCTTTGTATGTTCTGCTGTACGGATAAAAATGTACTAATTCAGGAGGCTATGGGCCTATTGGCTTTGGCCTGCAAAAAAACGATGGTGGAAGCACTGACACCAAGAGCACTGACGGTGAAGAATGTGTCAGTGTAGTAAGTGCTGCTACTGGACCCGTCAGACAACTGACTGTGGTTGACGGGAACGTGAAATCTCCGTTGACATTAACGAGCAATGAAGTGCCGCTTGATATTGACATCGGCAGTCATACACCTCTAGCCAAAATAGAAAATCCGAATAAAACTGTCACCGTTCCACATAGTCTAGGTGTGGCTGTCCTGAGTGGCGACAAATGGACTTCAGTAAGGAGAAAAAGAAATAGGAAGAAAAAGGCTGTGGGCAAAACGCAGCTGGTCAGCAAGTCGTTGGAAGAGACGGTGTCAGAAACAGAAACTCCACTGCTTATTAAGGCAGGCCTCTCTGAGAGGTCAGTCATTTTCAATAAGTTAAAAGAATCTTCCTATAAGGAACCAAAGGCTAGATTCGTGATCTCAATCATATTAAGTCCTTAATAAGCAAACTACTCCCGGATACAGTTTCAGAAGTTAGTATTTATAAGCTTTATAGAATAGGACAAAAGGTGGATTCTGAAAATCCTCAGAAAAACCGCCTCTTGAAGATTACATCTGCCACGGTTGAAGAAAGGAACCTGATTCTAGGAAACTCACGTAAACTGATCGGATCCGGAATATACGTCCGTGAGGATCTCAGCCTAGCTGATCGTATTAAGAGACGAGCTGCAGAAGTGGAAATAAATGAGCGTCGCTGAAACGGTGTAAGAAACCTAGTTCCTAAGGGTTTTCAAATTGTAAAGCTTCTGAGCCAAACGATCCCCAAACCACTCTGGGTGGTAAGGGAACGTTCTCCACAGACTTTAATGTATGCTACACAAATGCTCGCAGCCTACTAAATAAAATGGCGGAGCTCAAGCCAATGGTGGATAAAGAAAAACCGGATGTTATTGCTGTCTCAGAAACTTGGTTAACGTCGGAAGTATTAGAAAATGAAATTCGGTTGACTGGTTTTTTAAGCAATAGGGCTGATAGATTAAACCGTAGGGAAGGCGGGGTTATCCTGTACACGAAAAGCAACCTAACCATAAGAGTAGTTGAGAAAGTGGCACATGTTTCAGGGACATGTGAACTCGTGCGATATAAGCTGATGGCAGGATATTGAATTAGTTGTAATATATCGCAATTCAGAATGTGTAGCAGATGATTTTCTCCTAAGTAAACTTAAGTCCTGGTGTAACAAGGGTAAAAGCCTTGTAGTAGGCGACTTTAATGCACCACATATAAACTGGGTTAACTTAGAAGTAGGGCCATCCATATCGTCGTTCGACTGCAAACTGTTAGAAACCTCGATTGAATTAGCATTATTCCAACACATAAGAGATCCCACAAGATACGACTTAAGAAGCTCTCCCTCTTTTAGATTTGGTCTTCACACACGGTGATGACGTCGGTCAGATGAATTTCCTCCCACCACTAGGGAGAAGTGACCACACAGTCGTATTATTCAAATTCATGGCTGAGATTGTCTGTCAAACAGTTGCGCCGGCCCGTCCTAATATATGAAAGGCAGATATGGAGGAAATCAACTCCGCAGCATCGGCTGAAGACTGGGAAATTGACTCAAGGGCATCAGTACAAAAGGCATGGACCCTTTCAGGCAGTTATACAATCGGATAACTCAACCATACATACCCTGGACAGTTTCAAAGCAGAAGAAGCATGACCATCCCTGGATAGGCCGGGATATTCGACGTTTACTAAGACAAAAGAAAAAATGTTAGGATGTTGCCATCCGCCTTGGCACAGCAGATACGATGGTACGCTACAGATTGATAAGAAACGAGTGTATAACAAAAATTCGGGAAACTCAAAGAAAATATGAAATACAGCTGGCACAATCTGCACTCAAGCAGCCTAAGAGAATATTCTCGTACATAAACTACAGAACAAGGATGCATCATCGGATTCCTAAAATTATTAAAGTAGGAAGTGAATCTGAAATGATAGAGGAAGATCAGGAAAAAGCAGAGGCTATGGCTGACTATTTTTGGGCAGTTTTCACTCAGGAACCTCCTCTAGAGAAAGAACCAGACCCAGATACAGAGTCAACAAACCAACTGCTCATCGTGGACTTCGACCAAAATGATGTGCTTAGGGATCTTAGCACCCTAAACATGGAGAAGTTAACAGGACCAGATGAACTACACCCCAAAACCTTGAGACATATCGCCCAATATATCGCGACCCCATTGACTGTGATATTCAATATGTCACTTGACCAAGGTGTGTTACCTATGGACTGGAAGGATGCAATCGTCACTTTCATACATAAAACATGTCCACGACAAGTTCCATCGAATTACAGACCCGTAAGCCTCACCAGTGTTGTAATTGAAATACTGGAAAGAATAATCAAACGGACCTGCTTGAGCATCTGGGCTACCTATTCCTGCCATCTAGATATTTCAACAAGTTATCTATTTTTGTTTGTTTTAATATATCGTTATGTCTATTAGTCACATAACCTATTCAGCCGCGTTTCTGAAAAGTGTACAACCTTTTGTTGTCAAAGTTACAAAAAACTCAATGAGAGACGATGTGGTTGCTGGCAATATACAACGAAAAGAGTGCACATTATTCAGATGTTCATTCGGTGGACTGCTAACATCTAACTGGCGATCACACAATATTTATCGCCACGACCGACCAAGAAGAAAGAAACAGAAACTTGTTGAAATACTTTGCGCTGAGAATTCTATATTGTGCCAAAAATATAATATTCAATAAAGCTGATAATAATAATAATAATGATAACGGCATTTATGGAAACCAGTGACTTGCTGAACATGGCACAACATGGTGTTAGAAAGGTTCTATCCTGTACAACAAACCTCCTTATAGCTAGGGAGCTGTGAATTAATGCGCTAGACAACGGAAACTCAGTGGATGTTGTCTACATAGACTTCAGTAAGGCTTTTGACAAGGTACCAACTAATAGACTGCTATTGAAGTTCGAAAACCTTGGTATTGCCGGACATCTTTTAATATGGATTAAGGATTTCCTAGTAGGTCGTAGACAAAAATTAAGAATAAATTCCAAGTGCTCCATCTGGAGACCAGTACTTAGTGGAGTACCCCAAGGTTCCGTCCTAGGTTTTTTACTTTTTATACTGTACGTTTATGATCTTCCATGTACAGTACAGTCCCCAATGTTATTATACGCTGACGACGAAAAATCTGGCGAGTAATAACTGAAGACAAAGACGCATGTGCTCTTCAGGTAGACTTAAACAACATGATAAACTGATCTAAAGAGTAACTGGTGCCTATTAATGCGGAAAAGTGTGTCTACATGCACTTGGGGGATTCAAAGGTTAATCCGTACAACACAGGAGATGTGTCATTACCCGTAGTCCGGTCTCATAAGGATCTAGGGGTGACAGTGAGTAATGATCTTAAGACGACGGCCCGTTGCCGGGCGGTCGCAGCCAAGGGGTTTCGAACCCTCTGGGCTTTAAAAAGGACATTCACTAAGTTAGGTACTACCATATTCACCACAGTATACACATCCTTAGTGAGAACTAAGCTAGAGAACTGCGTTCAGGCTGCAAGCCTCTGTTTAAAAGGTGACTCGGACATACTAGAAAAAGTACAGAGGACAGCTACCAGTGCAACTCCAGAACTCCGGCTTTATTATACAAAGAGCGGCTTGAAAAACTGGACCATTTTACTCTGTTCTATTGCAGACTAATGGGAGATCTAATTTTGATGTACAGAATACTGAGAAAGGATTTCGGACCTAACTTGTTCTCTCTCTTTCCTCCCACTAGGTCGAGATATCGCAGATGACATATCGGACGAGTAGAAAAGCCAAGAACGAACAAAATACCCATGTCATACAGGTTTTCACACCGAGTCATCAATACTTGGAACCTGCTCCCTGGAGCAGTGGTGTCCGCACCTTCAATTGTCACTTTCAAGAGTAGACTGGACACTCACAAAAGCATACTAGAAAAGGAATGACTTGGGCCGTAGGCCTTTTGTCCTTACTACACAAATCTGAATCTAATTTTTCACAAAGAACCTCTGACAATTGGGCATTGAAAACTCCAAGAGGGTGGTTTATAATTGCAAGGCCACTGTAATCTTTTGGGTGGTTTTCGCGAATGGTTGGCAATGGTTGGTTGTTTTGGTTTCTTCATTAACTTCTCTGGCTTATTTTCAGCATCAGACATAAATTTAAAAAATGTTTTCATATTGTAATGACAATCAGAGGTTTGTTCCAGGAGAATTCGTGTACTTCAAGTTGTATCCAATACACCAACCTTTTTGAATTTAAGAATCAAGAAACTGTTGGTTCATAATATAACGTTTGTTTTCACTCACTCTCAAATTTCTGTCTCGTTTTTTAGCTAATCGTAGACTTGGTTACACAGTTTTGAAACACTTTTGACAATAACATCTGAACATTAAAAACATGAAAACTAGTCTCTCATTATTTTATATGCGACTGTGCAGCTAGGTAATGGATCTGTTTTGAGGACACCGCAGTAGAATTATTGTTCACAATATTTCAATAAGACTTACGAAATGCCGGAACTATTCATCTCAACGTTGCCATATATCATGCTAGCGAAAAATAAGTCGAGCAAATAATAGTTGAGGTCGTATTTCTTCAAGAATAGTTTTTCCGCCAATATTTACCACTAAAATGTCAATGGTTGTGGTGGAATATTTTAGCTGTGACTAGTAACACTATATAGAGCTAAGACTGCTTCTCGGTCTGCAAAGTGATTAGCTTCTCCAAAATACCGATAATTCAAAAATCTCATCACTTCTGTTAACATCGCAGTGTTTCAATGAATTAAAAGTTTTTCACAATAGTATATAACACTTCACTTTTAGATTCACCCATTGAGTAGTGTTAAGTGTACACAGTATCTGCTTAAGATGGCTAATGTGTTAATAGAGATTGAGGCCGTGACCCTTTTATTTGTTGATGTAAAGTTCAGTAAATCGAACTAATACACATCTATGGCCAACCAGCTGACTCATGGATTACAAATTGAAGGGCCAGAATGAACATTGCTGTTATCATATCACTTCAATAGCTATGGAGATAGTTACTTTATAAATTTATGACCTCAGTCGGTAATTAATTTAACTGATTGTGGAATTCCAGATATATATTTGACTCTAAGCCACATCCAGGGGTCAGTAGTACTACTTGGCTTCCCGTATAAAATGGGCGGAGCGAAATACGAGCCCGTGGCTTTATGGTTGGGAATCAAACCCTCTTACCACTAAGCTATTTATCCAAATTTTGTGGTGTTAGTATATTACGGGTAACCCGAGACTAGATAAGTGTGCGTTAATCTAAGCTACCACACCTTACATCAACACAGTGAGAGGAAATTTATGGAATGAAAAAAGATTGTAATTTTTGTGTCATCACACGTGTACAACTAAGCGGCACGACTAGACAATCTTTTGAATAATGTATTAGAAACTAATCAACGATTCAGCTAATAAATTCTCACTGACCCACCATCCTTGTCAGTCATCAGTTTTCGACATTAGTCCATAGAAATAGGAATAACGTTGTATGTTATGGTCCTTTCCAATGTTTGATTACTGACCAAAAGAGCTCCTAATTTCAGGCCCCCTGAATGCCCTGGTACGGCCGAGAGTGGGGAGAGTCCGCTCTCCCTCTCGAAATACTCTCACACGGCCACGCGTATACAGCCTCTGCCAGGGAAGTCCTACTCATTGCCTTCTCGTGGCGGGGGTGTTGTTTACGAAAATGAGAGGACGAAAAGCGAATGTCCGGCGCTTTAACCGGATTTCAAATCAATGGTGCACATGGGCTCCAGTATCCTGCGGGAACAAATGGCGTATGAACCAATCGTTGGTCACCGGCTACCATGGGACTGCATCTTCTTACGATGCTCCACTGCCTTGTGGGTTAGACCTTTAGGTCAAAGGCTCGGGGAGTGGCCCCCTAAGATAACCACCTGCTTCGGTTTGGGCACCCGGGCAGTATCGCAGCCCACACACAAATGATGAACTCTTTATGTCTATGGAAATTACTTTTGTCGCTTTGAAAAACAATCAATTGATTCAAATTATGATCACTACAATTATTGTCATTATTAATACTAATATTATTATTACTACTATTGTTGTCATTATTGTTATTATCATCATTATTATTATTATTTTCCACATTATTCACCTTCTTTTATACTTATACAGCGGCTTGTCTTTGGTGGAATTCCGACTGTATCTAAACGTTCTCGAGTCACTGTCCGGTTGAAAATTGTATGTTACCACCGAATACGAGGACTGAAGCAGATTTTCTGAAATCACGTGCACCATTCAAACTGGCTGCCTTCAACGTTCGCACATTTATGCAGGTCGGACAACAGATAGGGCTGGCTATGTCTTTGGAAAGTCTTAATATCGACGTTTGTTGTCTATCCGAGACCCGTATTCAAGACTCTGGCGAAGTACTACAAATTCGATCTCCATCTGTCGCTTCGAAAAGCTTGTTTTACGTGCGCTTATCCGGGGACCCTGTGGCATCTTCGTCTGGTCTTGCTGGCGTTGGTGTCGCACTAAGCGCTAGAGCTGAGGCAGCACTAATCGATTGGATCCCCACTAACAATCGGTTATGTGCTGTTAGATTAGAGAGTTCCATCAAAGTGAGAAGAAATCGGCGTGAGAAACGATGTCTTTTCGTCATCTCCGCCTATGCCCCGACAGATTGCAGCCCAGATGCAATCAAGGATGAGTTTTACCACCAGTTATCAGTTCTTCTCCAGAAAGTGCGTTCGACAGATATTGTAGCACTAGCCGGAGACTTGAATGCTCAGGTCGGGCGTCTAGGCACAGAAGAGAGTCGTTTAGGTGGTCGATGGGGACTCGTTGGTCGCAGGTCAGATAACGGGGACCGTCTACTGCAACTGTGCACAGACCACAACCTGTTTCTGGCTAGCACTAACTTTCGGCACAGTCATCGCCGATGTGCCACCTGGCGTCCTCCCTCTGCATCTCAAGCCTGGACTCTGATTGATCACATCGCGATCAGCTACCGCTGGCGTGATTGTGTACAAGACTGCCGCTCCTTTTGGGGTACCTATCTCGACTCTGACCATGCCTTGGTCTGCGCCAATCTTACCTTACTTTTCAGTGGACAACGAAGTGAACGCCATCAACGGATTGATGTTAGCAAGCTGGTTGCAACTTCTGTTGCAAGTAAGTATCGAACCGAGCTAGCCTCTAGGCTAGCTACCACTCCACCGAAAAGTATAGATGAGCATTGGTTGCAATTGCATGACGCCATGAAAATGGCGGGAACAGTCAGTTGTGGGTTTGCGAAACGTCCCGCTTTTAAGCACTGGGTTTCTTCTGGTTCCTTACAACTCATTGAAGCCCGTCGGTCTACTCCGGGTGACCGTGAGTTTGACCATAAACGAAGGATGTTATGTAAGGAAATTGGGGCATACAACCACCTCTCTCCATTGTTCCATTCGAGCAGTGGGGTTAGGCAGGGTTGCCCAATCTCACCATTCCTCTTCAACTTTGCCATCGATGACATTCTGGAAACAGCTCTGATGAATGTAAGTAATGGTGGTGTGGATCTGTTGCCTGGAGAAAGACTTCTCGACCTTGAGTATGCGGACGATATTGTCTTACTGTGCGATAATGCCCAAGGCATGCAATCCGCACTTAATCAGTTGGCAATCAATGTCCGTAGGTATGGTATGTGCTTTGCACCTTCGAAGTGCAAAGTACTTCTACAAGACTGGCAGGATTCCAATCCTGTACTCACCCTGGATGGTGAGCAGATAGACGTAGTTGAGAAGTTCGTGTATCTGGGTAGCTGCATAAGTGCTGGTGGGGGTGTGAGTGATGAGATCAATGCACGAATAGTGAAAGCCAGAGCGGCTTATGCCAATCTGGGCCATCTATGGCGCCTTCGTGATGTTAGTCTGGCCGTAAAAGGTCGGATCTACAACGCGTCGGTGAGAGCAGTTTTGCCCTATACTTGTGAAACCTGGCCTCTCCGAATTGAGGACTATAAACGACTCTGTGTTCGATCATTGTTGTCTCCAAAGGATCAATGACATCCAGTGGCAACACCATGTCAGTAATGCAGAAGTTCGGCATCGTGTGTTCGGGCACAGAGACGATAATCCAATCGGTGTCACCATCTTGAAAACCGACTTCGGTGGCTTGGACATGTTCTACGAATTTCGTCCCAGTGAATTCCACGTCGTGCATTATTTGCAGACTCTGGGACTGGTTGGAGAAAGCGGAGAGGTGGTCAGTATATGACATGGTGTCGTGGTATGAAAGAAAGCTGCAAAGGACTGGCTTGTGTTGGTCCTTCACGACTCCCTGGCTGGGGTCCGAGAGATGGTGCTACACAGTGGCTAGAGACGTTATCAGATATGGCTCAGAATAGAAGCCAGTGGCGATCCTGCTGTAACCTTCTTTTACTTTCTTCATAAAAAGTGGTTGTGTCTCCTTTACCTGAAAGATTTCTTCTGATTGTACCTCTTCGTCATTACTCTCTTTTTCTTTTGCGTTCCTTAGATTTTTTTTCTTTCTACTTCTCTTCGAATTCTCATTGTTTTGTGTGGCGCATATATATTGGCGCTCTCTTGTACCAATATTTATGTGTTCAAATAAATAAATAATCCATGTTCGGTGCAGCGTTATCTGTCTATGGTGTTATTTCGTATACCAAAGATTAAACGCATTTAGCCATATCATTAGTCTATTTCCTAGTGAGTCGTTTCTTGTTAGGTTTCTCTCATTTTCTTTCTAATTCCGGAAAAAAGTAATCACATCGCTGAATACGTCTATGTTTACTAATCTTTTCATTCATTAGTAAATCATTTCGATCACTGTACCTTTCATTTTATTGTTTAACATTTCAGAAATTTCATTGTTTCATAAAATACCACCATGTTTTCTTTTCGCGTACAGATTTTAATGAAATTCCCTTACGTTTAACAATAGCTTACCATGGTGCTCACCAAAATAATATCACCAGTTGCAGTTTTTCTAATTGCGGTCGATTCTTCGCCTTTGTTGATCAGCCACAGATTGTCTTGGGTTACTGTGTAAATGACATACTGTAAGTTTTTCTGGCTCATATGTATATATATGCTTTAACTATCTCCTAGTTGAATATATCTTTTCTTGTATATAGACTCTGTATTAAGACTGTTTTCGTGAGTTCCTTTTGTGCAAACTTCCAGATCCTTTATAACAATACTGTTCGTGTAAATTTCAGCGAAAATATTTGTTAATTTTAAGTAGTCACTGTTGCTAAGTAATATTATAAACGTGTTGTTTCGAAAACTTAAAGAATACTTTCCCTTGGATGATTCACATTTTTAGTTCAAGCTATTGGTTAGTTTTATCATTCACTATCATACAAACGGGGTGACTCAAAGTTAAATACATAAACTATTTGGTACAGAATTTACACAATTGCATTCAAAATCTACTTGTAGCTATGTAATATCACCATTGTAAACTTACATTCAACATCATATGGTGAAATAATTAGACATTTTATGAAAGTTGTTTTATCAATAAATACAAAGATAGATGGAGATTCAATAATGTATATACACCGTTCTTTTACTTCCTATAACTATCGTTAGTTTAATTCGCTACATTAACTCACACTAACCTACATCGCCCATCGGTTTATTGATTCAAGTAGCTACTGTAAAATGTTTGACTAAGAATTTTAGAATGTACTTTCTAACACTAGTCAATATCAGTTGTAGAACAAGCGAAGACTAGGAGGCACACAACTGTTTTATCCTACTTATAAGACACATTACTTCATACAGTGTCGAATTTTCCAGTCACCTTCAGTGTGCCCTTAAATCTTCAGTTTTTCAGTTAGTGTTAATTGATGGCGAATATTACTTTTGAATTTGATAAAACTCCTTACTAAACTACCTGAATAAAATATTCAAAGACTTGAGTGGGATTCTGCATTATTTGTGCATTAACTTATATTACAGACTTTCCTCATTCTTCTGGTGAATAATAAGAACAATAATAAACCACTAAGTTTATTTTTTGCATCATAGACTGACCTTAATTACACCTGTGCAGTTCTTCCTCGTGTCTGTTTACTATCTAACTAATGTCAATCCGTTATGTAAACTTTAGATTTTGATAATCTCCACAAACCCTCTATAATAACAAGTTTGACGGTTTATTATTTTGTGCTACTCTACATAGATCAACATGTTTGGATGAAAATAATTTCAAACCATCTTTATCATCTCATTGTCAAACATCTAGTTTATTGTCAGATGAAATTATTAACAATACAGAATCATTAAATTTATATGCAAATCTTACAGATAGTAGTAATAACTGGAAAATATTAACATCAGAACTGTTACATGGTGATGCACTACCTGTAAATATGAAACCAATATTTCGTATAAAAACTAACGGAGATGTGATTAGTATGACTTTTGCCTCTGGGGATAGTGCATTTTGTCGATTGCCCCACCGTGCAAATAAGCGTAGATCGTCTATTGTTCGTGAATCACAAGTCTCATTATTACTGTTGGGTTTAGCTTCTGGTGTCATTGAAGTTTATAATGTATTTAGTCTAGTATCAAGTTCTCCACGTAAGTCTTGTTTTTGTTCTTTAGTATGCTAATTTGACTTACATATTCTAATTGTCTCCTCAATAAATATGATGGTTTCATTTCATATATCCTAGTATATTTCGTACTACATACGATTTGATTTCGTAATATAGGAGTTCTCTGTAATTTCTTGTTATGTCTGAGTCGCTTATTACTTATTCGTGGAACGAGGAACCACTACAATTTCCATGACTCAAAGCAAGAACATGAAAGACTGGTATAAGTTAAGGTTTATTCACACCGAAAAGAAAACTACGACTCTAGTCGAAAATGCGCTCATTTATACATATTTGATCATCAATAAGTAAAGTCACATATATAAAATTATAGCTAAATCGTATGCTGCATTTCATGCTGAATAGTTCACGTTAATTTTATCCAGAGAATATCATATCCTAAATAAATATTATACTGAAGTAGATTAACGTTAAACTAAATAGAATAGCGCACTGCATAATCATCATATATAATTAAAATAAAGAAAGTAATGTTTAATAAGAATCACGATGAGTTGAAGATATAATTTTGCCTTTTTGTCCTGTTATGTCATCTCTCAGTTGACTTCAACCAATTCAGTATGTTGTGTTCACATTTATGTACTGATATCTGTAAAAGATTGTAAATTTACTTTTACCTTGGTCGTTTGTATATACCTCGAAGAGAATTGAACACTGAAAAACTGTTATTCATCTTCTAGGTGCCAAATTTCCTGTATTTTAGTTTCTAAATGAGTAAAAGACTTATTCACTTTTAATAATTACTTCACCCACTTATTCCTTGTTATACATTTGGGTATCGTGTATTTAGTTTGATTATAAAGCTATATAGAGTCCCATAGAAACGAAGAAGAAAAAGTGCTTCGCTGTACTGCTTTCGTTTGACAGAACAACCGACTAAGTAGTTCTGAGATTAATATCAATGTTCAAGTTAAGACTGTAAACTCTGGTCAACTGAGTTAGGGTTAGACTTAAACAACACATCCCAGTTATTACATTTCAGACGTGCAGTAGTCGTGTGTAATAAGTTTGAAGAAAGCTATAGGCAGCTAAAAAAAGACTGTATAATATCAGTTCGTGAAAGTGTTTTTTGAAAAATGTAATGTATTTCATAAAAACACATTTTAGAGAAACTTGGTCACAAATTTACTTGTCAAGAAATTTTATATAAAAGCAAATTAAGGTCAAGTAAATGTGTAGTGATAATAGAAGTACAAAATTTTGAAGACACAGTAACCGAATGAACCAGGACGGACCTGAAGATGATGAGAAATCATTCTAAGCACATTAGTATGATAAATGTTTTAATAACCAAAACTTATGAATGCATTTTCGAGAATTTAAAAGCTGTTTTCATGCCAATCTTATGATCGTTCTGATATGGAGAGCAAATCAGAAGCAGCAAAATGCCAATCGTTGGCAACCAGAAGTGACCTAATGGTTAAATGCATTGCATTGGGATCAGTGGGTCAATTTCCTAAGGATAGAGTGGTATATATGTGAATGAGTATCTGTACATCTCATTCGGTAGCCCAGTACACTTCCTCGATCACTCTCGTTCTTGCTAAAGTAGTTAGTTGGGGGTCAGCGTATAGCACACCGTGTATCAGTACCGAATTTCGGACACCGCTCTTCACCACGCTTCACTTATAATATATCTGACTGCAGAAGAACATGATTGTCTTTCACCTAGGCTTATATTAAAATGAGATTCTAACTGGATCTTAAGCCACGTAAGAAAATGTTTCAGCTCTTCATTTATGGTAGTGATATTCCACATGAACATCACATCTTTTAGATCAGCTTTGTTTTATCACTACACTCTCCATACGTGCTTTGTTGACAATCAATTTATAAGGCTGTGAAGTTTTACCGATCGAAGTGTTAAGGATATGTATTCCGTATGCCCAACCACTACTTTTCTTGGTGCACAATATAATTTGTAGTGAGAGTAGTTTGAAAGAAAGCTAGTCATAGACGATCCGAAACGCTACATCATTTTACGGAATTATTTATAGCTGAATTGAACTGTGTTAGTAGATCTAGACAATCTGTCCAGGGTCTACACGGTTAATTTTGTTAAATAAATTCTTTTTGACCTCTGTATAGAGATTTGTTGGACAAATTAGTATTTTAGTTTATTATAACTTGTGTTTCTTATAAAGTTTAGTAACTGTACATATCAACTTCGAGTTCATGTTTTCTGATGTCTTTCTATAGATATCCCCAAATATGTCTTGACAGATGATTGTACCCTTGTATATCTCCTCTCAGCTGCTGTAGACGGAAGTCTTCGTGTTGGTTCCGTACATCGTGGTGGTGAAGTGAGATTATGGGATTTATGGGATGATGGTAATATGTACGGGAAATTACAACATAAATTCACTATTCCAACAGATCAACCATGCAGTGAAATTCAAGGTGAAGCATGTACATTTGCTTGGCATCCATGCGGCAGGCATGTATTCCTAGCTGGTGAAAGAGGCCATGGTGTTGTACTCGATGTAAGATGGTTAACTTTGATTTTCCTGTCGTTCTTTTCAAGTTTAAAAGACAGGCAGAAGTGATGCCACGTGTTGCTAGGGCTATAAGAGTATTTCTCGCTGTCCAATCGCCATACTGTGGATGCATATTTCTTCTTGGGGTATCTACAATGGAAAATTGATTTGTAGTGGTCTCAGCGACCTGGGAGGATGATCACAGAACTCAGAACACAAATATTTGATACCGGTCATGCATGACAATTCTATAGCAGGTTTTTGATGTGTTATATCGACATTTCAAAGTCCTTTCCACCGGAAACCAAAATCTATACGGTAAGCTAAGGTGCGACAGTTTTAGGATCGACCGTTTATAACTCCTCCCTTCGGTTTTGGGAAGACAGCATCGCTGCAGATGCTGGCTCTCTAAGGGAGACATCCTGCTGCTGTCACACCCTTGTACAGTCAACAATACGGATGCGCCCACGAGACACGTTGCTTTTAGTCTAACTGTTCTCCAACTGACCTGCTTAGCATTATGGGACCTAAGAGAACAAGCTTAAAAGTTTGCTTCTTTCCGAGACAGATTCTAATAAAATATTTAGAAATAGAACATTTCACAATAAATATATTTGTTCCTATTGTTGTACCAAATGAATTTAGTCACTGTTGTAAACTAATTATCAGGTTTCACTTTTTTCATGAAGAAACATGATTTCTTCTTGTGGACATGCAATCAAAAATAAGAAATCGGAATATCTATTCAATGTGCATATCTATATAGTATTTGTATTTGTATTTTTAACGGTTACACATGTAACGACGAAAATAAATAATTGGTCAGTCGTTCATCATTCCTTAAACAGTTCATATTTTGTTATTTCTATCTCACTAAAAGCCAACTAAAAATGGACTACACTGATAAAGATGAAGTGTAATAATCTGGAGATGTTACTTTTTGCGTTGATGGTTGACGAATTCGACTAGCAGTCACTAAGTCCCAGATTTGCACATTATCCCACGTAGTTAGTTTGGGCGACTGCACTTAATGTGTGGCTGTTATGTCCCGATAAGAATAATGAATGATAACTTTGGGATCCATTTATGGACCAATACTATGCGTATATTTTTATCGTATAATTGTTACTTAACTAAACTGTGCATATTCATGTCCCTCTTATTATGTGCTTTATTTTGACCTATGAACTCTTATTATACGACTTACCATTCTTGAATTATGCCCTTTCTATTAATCACTACCTCCCACATTCACAGCCACATTGGGCTAAATCTTGTACAGATGTTGTTTCCTATTTTATGGTACGATGTGGTCTGTTTGATTAGTATATAAACCCCGTATGTTTGAAATAAATGATTCTTATTGCAGAGGCTGAGATCGGTTTTCTGGACTTAACAGGCTGGGCTAGGCGCTAAGCAGGACCAATAAGGACTCTAGACTGCTCGTCCGGGTTTTATTCGTCATTGGTCCGATCGATGATTCATTGTTCTTTAATTAGCGGTATCGTTACGTTATACATTAACAGGGCACACAGGTCACAAGTTATAACAGTGGCTCGTAGCCAAGTAAAGAATCTGTGCCTGGTAATGAGTTAATAATAATAGTAGTAATGATAATCTCTTGTGTCCTTCATTTCGAATCCACCATTAATCTCTTCCTCTGTTATCTAATATGTAATTCATTGACTCAGACAATCATGTAAATGTCCATCATCTTTGGTCAGCTTGAGGTTGGTGGCATATTCTGTATATTTTATAACCAGTAATTCAAAGTTATAATTACTGTTTACATGTATGACTTACTCCTAAATACTCATTCTGTTTCACTCTCCTATTACTTTTTGGTGTATGTGTCTCTTTTTTTCAATTGACTACATTTATTATCCTTGCGTCGGTCATATGATTTTATATGTATACTAAGTGATTATGTGAGCCTGGTACCTAAACGGTACAAAGACGATGGGTGAAATGGCTTGGGGATCTCAAGAGTATGATTTCGGGCGTCTGAGGTCCAATCGCTGAGTCACCATCCGGGCTGTTTAATCATAAATTGAATTCAGAAAGGTCGTCCGTAAATACATGATTATGGCAAAACATTTTGGATTGAGTAACGATGTAAAACAATAAGCTATTTAATAGCTCAGACTTCTAGGCATTACGAGGTATGTTTTGAATTATTAGAAATGGAAGTTAAACAAATGTACTGCCTGCACTTGAAGAGTATTTTAAAAGCGATAAAACTGTGGTATCCTCCAATTCGTGAGATAACGTCATCCTAATCTCAGCTTGTATATTTATTTGAATAGGCCAGTATGTTTTATTGTAGTGTGTGCTACTGATGTCGACAGATATAAGTAATATGTATCATTAGTCGAAAGTGAAATGCCTGGAGGCAGAAGGTTAAGAAGATCCAAGAAAAGAGATCGAGAACAAAGAATAATTGGTATGGAAATGAACAATGAAGTCTGAGACTATTGGTTGACGTTTTGTAAATGAACTATTTACTTTATGGTTCTCAGATTTTACTAAGATGTTCTGTAATTTTGTATTCAAATAAATTTGATTGTCCCCACTTATGTTCTCGTTCACTACACTATCACCATCTTTTAACATTTTTTCGATTAGGATTGGATTATCAATCACCTTATAATGATTACCTTAATTTTTCCGAACAATTAATGCAGTTGTGATACTGAACACATTGTACCCATTGAAGTGATGGCTTAGAGGTTAGGGCGTTCGATTTGTAGCCTCTAAATCTCACTCACCTTGCTTTCAGCAAGCAGGTACTATCATTAACCATTACACTCAGGATGTGGCTCATACTGCAGTATCTGGTGAATGAGTTGATGTTATTAATTAACACATTATTCTTTTATTTGTCAAGGCTGAATCTCCTTTTTCTCGAGTCGCCTACATACGATCTGGTCATTATCATCGAATATCAGTTGCAAAATTTTCAAAAGATGGTAGTTTATTAATTACTGCCTCTTATGATTCATGTTGTGCTGTATGGTCTGTACCGGAATATCAATGCTTACATCGTTTCTGGTAAGTAATTTCCCCAACATATTGATCAACAGTTGGTGTTATATCTTGTTGTTCGATTCACTTGCAAGTTATTGACTGCTTAACACTCATGAATTTGAAACGCTTGAGTTTCAAAAACACAGGCTGTTAGGAGGGAGGTAAAGATTTAACATATCACGTGGAGTTCCAACGAATAGAAAGTATGGAGACGTTTCAACCTAACCCATACTCACACTCTGAAGAAAGGAACAAAGCTACACTATTCCCTAAAGAGTTTTTTCACTTTCAGTTCAAGTAATAGCATTACAATGACGTTTGCCGACATATAAGTATTCATTAAAATCTGAACAAAACAATAACAAAGAACATAGCAGAATAAGATGAACTCATTTCGTGAACTTTCATCAGCTGATGATTATTTATAACCAATATACATACTTTATGTCATATCAGTGAAGATTAGTAGAATAACGACAACAGGCATGGAAGTATTATAAAGTGGTAGCGTGGAGAAATATTTCCATGTGTTACGTCCTTGATCTGTCTACCCACTTCTGGTGCTGAGGATAACTTGTCTAATCTAGATTAAGACCTTGACGCATTGGGCTGACCGGCTTAACCTTAAGGCTAGTACGCGTGAGTTCGAAGTTGGGTTAAGAGAAGAAAACGATACTATCACCTGACTGGCTGACAAGCACGCGAGTGAGAGAAAACAAGACAACTGGAACACTACTCGATCTATTCCCGATTTCCCAATTTTAGATCGGTGTTAAAAGATACGTGAATAAATAGATGACTAACCCGACCACAACGCACAATAATTAAGAAAACACAATCATATACAAACCCCGGGAATTAGGGTAGAAAATATGGTACAAAATAATACGTTTAAATTATACTAGCTTTGGAACGAAAAGGGCTATGACAGTGAATCATATATCAAACGAAAGCTTATGATGTATAGAACAGACTAGGGACAAAAATAAATATTATTGTTTTACAAGCTTTGAATTAACTGAAATAACGTCCCGAAAAATAGCTTTCGTAATTTGTCAAGGCTTCTTGTTTCTCTGTTCACATCACCATGTCGCTTAATGTGAAAATTCTATGAAAATGTTTTTTTTATTTAAAAAAACATGCAGACACGTTTCTGGAGAATGAATATTGATATCAAAGCTGCGTAATAACAACCATACTATTTGATAGAATAGTACAGTAAGATGAGTAAAGCTCAGAAAGACCTAAGAATGAAAAAGGAATTCGTTATTATAAATATGAAATAAAACGTGACTTAATTGAATCATGAAAAATAAAATTTACCAGGATAGTGATTTACAACTGTATCGTTTTTAGTGTACAGATTTCGTTCCAACTCTTAAATTGAGATGGCTTCGGCGCCACGTAGTAGATTGGAAATTATTTCGGTATTGATTATTTTCAATGGCATTGTTGGGAATACGTTGACCTCTTAATTTCAATTATTGTGAAATGTGCTCTGTTTCGAGATGTGAACAAGAACCGTCTTCTCTGTGCTTTGACACAAAAATGTAAACTGATAAACACAATCGGCGGTAACATAAGGTGGAAATTTGTTCATTTTTTGTCTCGATGAGCAACGTGTTTGATACAGTGAAACTAGTTTAGCGGCTAGATACATCGTCTTGAATACAACATTTTATCTAGAAATAATCGTTCCATCTGTTTCATCTCCTTTAAAATTAAGCCGTCAAACAACTGGCTTTTTTTTACTGTAGTAGATTCCATTCTATTGTTGTTATTCTACTAATCTTCGTTAATATGACATAAAGTATATACATCGGGCATATATAATTATCTGCAGGTTGTTAGCGGCTGACGAGAATCCACGAAATAACTGAATTCATTTTATCACCGAAAAAATTTGTATGTAATCAATTGAAATATTCAACAATCAAATATTGTTAGAGAATGAAAAATTTCATGCAAATAGGATTAAATATTCCCTGTGAAGACATTAAAAATATAAGTTAAATTGAAGAAAAAAAGATTTCTTTTTAATTAGTTCTTTATTTCATGGCTCTACATTAATATTTATACAGAAGTTCTTTATTAAATTAAATTGTACAATCAACACCAAATACCCTATGTATCTCAATATTTTCTCTAAATATGCTAACTCAATGGATGCAAAATTAAAACTTAAGAAACATTACATAATCAATTAATCATTACCACTAGTTACGTAAGGATAACAGTAAAAATTAATATCAGAAGGGGTTTTGTGGAGATTTTAGTAATTTCCATAATTCAGATCATGAATCAGTTTCGTGGATTAGTTGAAGTTAGAAATTAACACCGTTGGATGCTGGCTCAGTCGTCTAATGGTTAAGCGCTCGCACGCGAGACTGATAGGTCCTGGGTTTGAATCCCGCGAGGTGTGGTCGTGGGTGCGCACTGCTGAGGAGTCCCACAATAGGACGAAACGGCCGTCCAGTGCTCCCAGGTTTTCCATAGTGGTCTAGCTTTAATTGGTTCATGATCTCAACAATTGAAAGTAAAAATTAAGTTTGAAATTAAGTAATTCAGTATAAAGTTTAGTATTATTTGTAAAATTAATGAGATAATTAATAAAATGGATATAAAGAAAATTAAGTAGTCGAATTATTGTAATAGAATGAGTACTTATGAATATGATTAATAGTTAGCCTTGAAAAGAAAATGTTAGGAGTAACTAAGTAGTAGGCAAGGTATATTGAGAGCCTGTACAAAATTTTTTAAAATACAAATATTGGGTTAATTTATGTGTGTCCATATAACGTTTGCTGCATTTAAGAGACAAATTCTGAAAGTTTAAAGCAAACTTTGATAGGATTCTATGCATAACTTTGAAAGCTAAATTTATATCGATATAATAACCGATATTGACTAAATTTACCAGAATAGAGCTTCGTATTGTTTTCTTTTGTTCTTTTGATCAGTCATAAAACATAATTTTCAGAAATACAGTGATTTATTTATCTAGTTGTACACCTAGTAGTTTACTGTTATATGAGGAGAAAACCGACGCAAAATAATGACAATTCGAAACCTAAAATAATTTGAGCAAACAGTATTATTTTTTGTAATATTTCCCAATGGAATATTCAAACATAAGTAACATTTAAATTTAAAGTGAATTTACAGTTCAGTATTGATAACTATTGCTTCGAATAGTCATAAAATTTAAACGTGTATCTAATTTTATAAGCTTATCATGACATATAACTAGATCTTATTTTCCAAGCGTAAAGCTAAATTATTTTTCCCGATGTAACAACTCAGTTTCTTTCTGAATCTTTTATACCGGAGTGTAGATCACCAACGTAGGTGATCTGTGCCGATGATTATGGATCTATTCCAGTTAGACGGCAGTAGTGTGACCTAGTGTACATCGAAGTAACGCTGCACGGTTAATAATTAACTTGGACTATGCTGTCGTGATAACCAGGCGAATCAATTTCCTAAGTGACTGGCTAGAATAAATACTCTCAATAAGCAACAGCATATATTAGTATTAACAGGCTATAGAAGTAAAAGGATAAATCACTGCCGCACGCCCCTATCCATGGCATGTAAATAATTGATGTGTGTCGGTTGTTCATGATCTTGAAGAGGATTGACTAACCGTTTGGCATTCATCGACCTGTCTGCCGGATGATTTGGCTGTAGCCCAGTGATATTTCACTGGGCCTACAAGGGTCTTGATGTGGTTTTTGTCAAACAACTCCTCATAATCTCCCACGTTGTTTATTTTTTTTGCATAGTCATCAGTAGGTCAACCAAATGGCGGTAGTGCATAATGATCCAGTATTCATATTGAAATTTGTAGGCCAAAACAATGTTTATTATCTTCGTATATTGCTAATAATAAAATTTTAATCAAGAATTGATCTTGAACAAACATAAATTGAGTCGGTTTACATTGACTTATGCTACCAACATAATTTGCATAAGAGCAGGTAAATATTCTGGTTATCTATGCATTCATGCCTGCTTTTTTCAACTCAAAGCCTCTGAATTACTTGAATTCACTCATTAATCAATGACAAGTCAACTTAACTGCACTGCCCTGGACTTTTATTGATTAGTTCGTAATAATTCCTGTAAGGCAATCATAAAGTACATGTCTATCCACCGTAATTTGAGTCGTAGCTTAAGTATAGTGCTTACTATTACTCAGGTGCATTAAGTGAAATAGGGTTGAAACCTCTTATCTGATATAGCTGAGATCTGATGTTAAATGATTGAGGGTAGTCGAAAAAATAGGTTTCGTGCTCTTTAAAATTCACCAGCGTGTCATACCTCCGAATTTAAGGGATTCGATACTCCCTGTGGGACTAAAACTCACTTTATCCAGCTTCACAATCTCTGACATTATCACTGGACTATAAGGGCTTTGACTGTTCCGTAGAACTAAGATGCTTACATTAATTGGTCGTTGAATAGTTGTCCATGACGTGTTTGTCTAGACATTAGTGTTAACCTTATTCTATCGATCAAGTTGAAGTCTGAGTGCACATTAATTATTGAAACAACTATTCGTCTATTTGTGTTCAGTTGTACGATAGTAATCCACTTAAAACATCACTAATATCTTTGTTTTCTTTTCTGTTCTTTTAGGCATATGGGACGTGAACCCAGTATTCCTCTTCGTGGTGGATCAAATGGTCATCATATATACGGTTTATCTCTGTCCCCAGATGATTTTTACTTTATTACCGTTTGCGAAGATAGGCAAGTAGTTTTCATTCCAAGAATCCATTCTCCTTGAATCATATTCTCTATACCTAATCTTTCCTATTAATGCTGATAGTGTTTGTCTTGATAATTCCATTTCTCAGTAGTGATATGGTGTGGCAAGTTCGACTGATACTCATATATGCCAGTTTCTACGTTCCTCGTAACTGCATCAGCCAGTTTGTTAGTGGTTCTATCCTTTTGAATCTATTCGACTGAAGATTAAGAGACTTACAACATGTATGTTAGACCATTAGTTCAATTTACTCGGTAATTTATCAAATCACAGCATAATCAAGTAGAAAAATGGTGCTTCGGAACGAATAGCCTCCTGATTTTCCTCTCCTAACCGTAATTAAGACTTTGGCTTGGTAGTAGGGCTTGCTTGTCATAATGACCCAATCGAGCCATATTACCTGAAGCACTCGTTCCTTTAGATCCCACCATACCTGACAAGTTAGTTGAAGAGACTCTTAAAAATAAGAGCAACAAACTCTTTCGAAGACGAGCTCATACCGCACTAGGGTGTAATGGCAGTAAGGTGTTTTCATCCAGACAACTAATATGTACATATATTTTGTTTTCACACAACAAAAGGCGGAAGTTAGAAAAAGCCAGTCTTAACATTACCATACCTTAATTTGTCCCACGAATTGACGTTACAGACGATAGTCTTAAAAGTACATAGTTAATGCATCTAAAACTATACACAGAAAGGACATATTATGACCACTTTCAACCAGATGTTCCTTGGGTAATGCAATCATACTTCCTGGTCAACAAGACCACTCCTAACCCAATTTTATCTTCATATTTCTTTAGAAGAATTATCCTTAAACGGTATGGATGATCAGGAAGTGACAACTCGCCTGATAAAATTATTACCTATGCTCTATACAGTATATCATATGTGCATACAAATATCTCATGTGTTCAATACTTTTCAATAGAAAATTACCATATATAATCCAGTGATTGTTTTTACAGTTCAATATAACAACGGAAATGTACAGTCTTTTATTCATGTATTTGTTTGCTCCCACTCTCCTCCACAGATGTATTCGTTTATGGCCATTGGCTCCTGTCAATTCTCCATTGAAGATCTATTTCGAACTTGCACTCCAAACTCATACTAATCTTAAATTTCGTAGCTTAGCTTTCAGCCCATGTGGTCGTATAGTTGCTGTTACGTAAGTTCTTGTGTTTCTTTATAATTAAGGACATGTAATGTTGATTCATTACTAAACTGTATATAATCATCATATATGTAGAATTCTAAATCATGAATCTTATCATAATCTACTTCTTCAATATTATTTATGTTCATTCAAGTTATTTTGTGATTTTGGCTTACTCAAAAAAGTAAGCCTTGATCGGCTTATATCATAAGTACATGACGTACTTTTATGCTTTGAAATAAATTACAATTATTCTGAATTATCAACTGTTAGAAGACGTTTTCCAATACCAGAGGGATATACTTGTTCAATAGATCATGACCATTATTACCTACAATACGTTAACAACGATAATAATCACTTACATGGTTAAAAAGAGAAGACATGAAGTTTCATGATCAGTTTAATATTCTAAAAAGTTAAAATTGTATTATAACAAGTCCGTTTACTATAACAATAACTATGATATCAGGACATGACAAGCATCAATTTCCAGGGGAAACTAACTAATTATGTAATAAAAAAGGTCAGTGCGGTAATATGTATTATAAAGTTTTCGAGAGCCTCTTTACACTTGTCGAAACTTAAATTTATTAACGAAAGTAAAAATGTTAGGTAAAATGAGGCTTTCCAAGCATGAATGAATTAAATTTTTAAGTGTTATAACAAAGCAATTTTGTTGTAGACTTGATAGTCAATCATTCTAGAATAATTTAAACAGTATAACTGAATAATAATTGCTCACAAGCCTGAATTATTAACCCAAGAACAACTTAATAGTTAAGAAATGAGTCGTTTTATATACCAGAATTTCACATTTGATAGGTTGAATTTATCAAAAACGTTTTTAATGCTCAATAAGTGTGTTGTATCCAACGCTCTTGGCTTTATTTCTGTGAATTTAATAACTGAACGCTGTATATCATAGTGTTATTTTCATCAGAGTTTATTTCAATCCCTATCGTACACTAAATTTGTGTTTTTTTATTTGGCATATCAAGGAACCTCTACTCTAGACATGTTCATGACAGACGTTTTAGGATAACCTTAACTCGCTTAAAATAAAATCTATAACGAAAATTGTAGCCTGATATGTCACACTCATCTATTAAATGAACGAAAAAATGATCGAAACTACTGATAAGAACGGATTGAAAACGTTACAGAGAACCTCAGCTATTTAGGTTTTGTACTATATTCATCCGCCTAGGTATCTAAAGTCATTTGTACTATCAACGTTACATATTACATCCACAGTATATAATCATGATCCTTCGAGTGAAATTCATCAAGTTTTACTGATGTATTTAAAATGAAAGCAAATATTTGTAGCTTAAGTGGTTTCTTTGTGCTGGTGTTGTGTCGGTCGATATGGATAAGGTTTAATTATCATTCTGAACAACAACAACATCGTGACCATGAGCGCTTTGTTTATGTAAAAGCGAGCTGCTTTAAAATTATTTCACACAAGCAATAAGTCAATCTGTTCTGATGATCTTGTTTCTGACTCGTCTTCCCAGATTTTGTTATCTTCAGTAAAGGGAGTTTATGAAGATTGTTGAATTTCAGAATTTACATCACGAAATAATTTAGTTAGAAAACCATTAAAAATTGGGAAGCTCTTGAAAGCTGTTTCGTTCCAGTATGCGGTTCTCCATCTATGTACATCCACTACCTCACCAAGGACGTAACTCGAGACCTCTAGGTATTTTGTCGAGCATTTTGTCTTCAACTTATTGAATTGGCTTCTCCTGGTCAACATGTCTGACTTCAATCAATTTACGATACTGTATTTTCGTCTTCCAATGCTATTGGTAGGTGAACACCACTGGTCACTGCTTCTCACTAGAGCTTTTGGAATCACCTCCTTGAGTTAATCATTAGTCGGCATATAATTATTAATAATACATATAGACGTTTCTAGAAATTTTCGAATTTTATAGTTTACAATTATTGTAACCTTCTTTATGCCTTAACGTTTCAATTGTGTCTGTTTTGTCTGGTTGACCTCTTAATATGTTATTGATAATCAATCTAATTTTTCCGCTTACATTTTGACCTACTTTGAATATAGAAATATTTATTTTATTATGTCGTTAGTATTGTCACTATTGTTATAACTATGACAATGTGTTACCATTAATTTTTAACTGTAGAATCCATATCATTGAATCTTAGATTTCCTTGTTTAGTTAAATGCGTGTCGTGCATATGTGTAGTAGTAATAAAGTAACTGGATTTAAAAGAGTAAAGCCTGATTGACAACAGGAAAATACTCTTCGCTTATATATCCTACTTCAGTCTATACAATAGAAATTTTAATCATTTTTTGTCAATAATATGGTGGCTCACCAATTTATTGGCCTATGTCGATTTGACTCCAATTTGAAAAACAAAACGAATGAATATACCATGAATATAAATGTATATTACATTTAGGCTAATCCTGTTTTAGTGATGGCGATAATAAGAAGTTAAATACGGACTAAAGTGGATGAGTTCATTTCATGCACTCGTTTAACCAGACAGACATAAAAAAATGAGGAGTGGGAAAGTGAAGCGAAACAGACTGGAGAAAGCAATCGTGCCAACTCTCTTTTTAGCAGACAAAAATGAGATAAAGACATGTTATGGATAACGTCAATGATAAACACACGCTCATATAAAAACAATCAACGTTATAAGCGAATAATTGACAAGGTCAAAGTGTGACTCAAAAGCTAAGACAACCAATGTAGGCATTATATAGTGCTAGATGCTACACTGATCACATAATCTGACAGAAACTCATTTTATCACAACCACTATGGCTGATATATCAATGACTCTTGGTATATAACCTTGGTTCCTATGTGACCATATAACCATAACACAACAAGAATTCGAGTTGAAAATGAGGGGGATTTAATTCCAATTGATTGATCTAAATGAGTATCACCTTGACTTTGAAACTTCGTTGAGTTCCATTCTTTAGGTGGTGCACACTTTGGAACAATCATAAGCTAAAGAAACATGTGTTTAGTGCTGTTACGGTCAAGCATATTTTTTTACTTTACAATAAAAACAGATTTACACCGTGATAACACATGAATCGATAACTAATACAATTGCTATTTCCCTGTTGTTTTATGCCTTATTGAGCCTTATAAATATCAAAAAACAATACTTGACTGGTGACTGCAATATACTGTTATTTACAGTTAAGGGTTGTGGAGATTGTTGAGTTTTATTAGTCATGAACTGACTTAAATTAGACCACCATTGAAAACCTGGAAGCATTGGACAGCCGTTTTATCCTGGTATGATACTCCTCAGCAATGCGCATCCACGATCCCGCACGCAGAATAATTATTTAGCCAGAAACACACACCTCTTTTTAAACCAACTTTATATTATAAATGAATAAATGATTTATGTTGATTGGTTCAACGACGGAATTGACTGTCCCATAAAATTATTCAGACAATGTAGCATCATGAACCGAGATCTATGGTAGGGAAATTACTGCTTTATCAATTGATAGCCTAAAATGTTGACTTTTAACTTCAGTAGTTTTTCATCAAATAATTTCTCGTTTACCCTGGTTCTTCAGCTCGTATTGTTCACTTCTATTTGAATTGATCTCTATAAACCAGCTAAACAAGCCACAGTTTTATTGATAATAAAAAACAAACAAGCAAATTTTGATTGTTACTGAACTATTGATGGTTTTTTTCTCTCTTCAGTACGAATAATCACGATGTACTTCTATTTACAACACGATCTGAATCAATTCGTCTTGGTACACAGTGTCTTCATGCAATCCGAAAATGTGTTATTGAAAATCTTTTGAAGAAAACTATGCATCGCTCAATTAAACATCAATATCATAATAATGAATTGTCACTAACAACTAGCAATAACAGTTACAATACATTATTTCAAAATTGCATTTCACAAATCCACTTACCATCTCCAGTGAAAAAAACAATTTTAAGGAATTTTGTAAATTGATATTTAATGTTAAGAAGACAGAAAAAAAAAGATGGAAATAACAGTGATTGTACTATGGTGATATGTATATGTATGTTGCTTACATGAACTCATTTGTTCCGTTTTTATTTTCTCTTTGCTTTGTTACCCTTGTTTTGTTTTAGTTACCAATTGAAACAATTACTTTTTTTAAAATATTTATTTCGTTTTACTGAATCGAGTAACACTTTTTATTTATAATATAAAAACAATTTAGCATTTCTATGATCTGGACAATCCATACTCTTTGTATCTGTGCTCCTTACCCCTAAAACTATGTAATTGAACTTATGAATGTGCATGTTCTATTATAGCATGTAATATATATAGTTTTAATTCTATTAAAATATGATAAGTGTACTTGATTCTGATTGGCTTGAAAATATTGTCATACGATTGACCTTTTGTGTAGGGTGGATCAATAGACTGTCTACAGGTTATCGAGCAACTATTATCGAATAAAATGATTAGAGATTTTTGAATTGTAAAATTTCTTGTTTTAGTTCTGTGTATATATTGTGTGGATCTGACTCATTTATGATTGTATTCTTGATAATTTGATAGAAATAAATATGATTAGAATTGGGATTTGTGAAGATTGTAGTAATTTTAACAGTTGAATTCATGAGTCCATTTAAGTTAGACCACTGTTGAAAGCTTGGGAGCACTAGACGGCCATTCCATCCTAGTATGGGACAGACTACTTGAACAAATACAACATTCTTCATGAAGCCCAACGAGAGTTCAGAATAGACTAGTCTACTTGAGCGAGATAGCTGAACACCCTACTGGGAATAAAACATACCTGTTCATTTAATATCCATCGGTTTCACAAGGTATTCGACACAGTAGCGCACACACATTGTGATGAAGGTTACAACAATGTGCTTTCTGAGTCACTTTTATCCTGGCACCAGAATCCCTTGGAGAACCGAAGATTCCTCACCAAAGTAAAGATATATCAGGAACTTCACAGAAAGCCATTTTAGGTCCACTTCTCTTCCTGGTTTTTATTAACGACTTCCTAGATAAGACTAACCCACCGATGCTCACATGCGCCCATTCAGTAGATAGCTTCAAGTGGAGATCATAAACGCTTAGTCACCCATGAATTACCATCTCCCTATTGGACTAGTTGTACTTGAAACATTGTCACATATCGTCGGCTTATTCGTAACTCGCTTATCATCATCTTTGTACACATTTTTTCCTTACACTTCGTTCTTGTCCGACTGTCTCCATTACTGATCAGTTAGATTATATATTTATTTAATTCTTCTGATCATCGTTTTTTCCACTTTTCTGGATTCGAATGCTTTCCTTTATCATTTTTCGCATTGCAGCCAACCAACCTCCTGCCTAGTAATGTGATAGCTTCTGGTTCCAGAAACCCTACTGCCCTGAGACGTACTCATTCAGATTACAAGATACACAAGCTCACAAATAATTACAGAAATGACCAGACCTAGTGAAGTCAAGTGGCTGGACTACCATCCATTGGACATCATCAAAGATCTGGGACCGTTCCGAAATAACAAGAAACAAGCCCAAAGAAATCAATTGATTTACACAAATAGATTGGATTAGCTTGTAAGATTTCCTCTTCATTATCTTCACCGTGACTTTTCAATTATCTGAGCTGTTTAGTAAGATAGATTTGGATGCTATAGCGTCGTCTACTCCCAATCCCTACTTGGGTTGGATTATGCTGGCATTAGAAATTATGAAAAATAGAAATAGAAACCAATATTTACAGGCGTAATAAACAACAAATACAGCTCCTCCATTGCAATTGGTTTTTGAGGCATTACTCTAACCACTGATTGTGATTGTGGTGTGGACCCCAAATAAGTAGTCTACATCTATCAATAGCTCCGTTCCATCCAACGCACAACTTAGCTAGCATCGAGGTAGTGTATGATTAGGCATTAGTAATACATGTTCCGACCACTCCAACCGATGAGGGTTTACATACTCATCAACTAATTTGCTATCTTTACCAAGTACCACGTGTTTAACTTGATACAACTTTATGCTTTGACTTATCTGTCTGTAAAATGGTTACCATTAGATAGTTGCCGAGCAGATGGGTATCAATTATTCGAAATCCCGTTATCATGAAATAACGATCTCCGCTAAATGGTATCAACATTAAGATAACGTAACATCGTTAGAAAATGAAATAAATCTCAATATTTCGGAATCTATTACTGCCCAACGTATTGTACAATGAATGAATTAAACTTTTAAAACTTACCACAATAAAATGTAAATTTGTTAAAACAGCAGTTTTTAAATATGCTCAATCACAAATAAAGAACATGCTCTTCAGAAACGTCCGTAATTTCAAAGTAATGTATGGTTTTATAAATATTCTCATTTTCTGTACATAAACTAACCTTCATGATAAAGCTTCTTTCTATACTTCCTGCTTATTGTTAGGAATTGAAGAGTTGATCATTTCTAAGACCTGATGAGTCAATGTCTTACCGAATTTGTTTACAATTGATTGGTCACTGATCAATGTCATGTATGTCAGGTCTTTCTTAGTGCAGATCGAATCCTATCGACTGAGTTACAATGTGGCTAGTAGTCTAGGTGACTCGACATTGATCAATCAATTATAAATACATCTGTCCTACAGGGAGTCGGTCATGGCCAGGATAACTCAGTGGTAACGTCTCCACCTGTGAAGCTGGGTGACACGGAATCTAATCCATCAGTTCCCTGAAGATTATAGGTACACCTTGCTGAAGAGTGCCACGTAGCATGAAACCTAGGTCCAATGTTTCCTGTTGACAAATTTTTTCCTGAGGAAAATGATGAATTATAAGTTTTCAATAAATGATACTGACTTTTGTCAAGCTACATTTTATTTTAGATTTGACAAAATTTGGAACTAATTTCAATAATATGATCGTGCTTCAATTCTAGATCATGTGAATAAGTTTATCATAAATGGTCATAGAAACATGTAAAACCTGTGATTGATAGTTAATGATGAAAATATGTAATTCTTGACCCTTTAGTTCTAATGAAATGGCACTTAAATTAGGAGTTACTATCTTTATTAAGATAAATGGCTTTCTAATATATTCTAGTTTCGTGACATTGCCGAAATATTACCGTTGATGGGTAATTGCCTTAAATTAACTATAAAACCCAACAATCTTTACAAGCCCTTCATATTACCAAGGTATAATTATTTTTTCCTAGGATAAAACCAGTTATCAATAAGGTCACGTAATTTATGTTTATGTCTGATAGCTTCTTTAAAACGTAGAATCAAATCATTTCTCCAAACAAATCCAATCGCTTTGATATGAATTACTACTTGATATGTAACAGCAGTGGACTAGTGTTGATTTCTAAATCACATACTTTCTAATACTACCTTAATGTTCAGTATCCCTATATCTGATTCCAATTAAACCATTTGCTGATTGTTATCGAAATATACATGCTGCCGACCCTCGTCCATGATCATCGACTTAAATCACATCAGGTTCGTTGTCGGGCTCATCACTTTATTGGCCCTATATCTTGACGTCAATTAGATTGTGTGATAATGCTATCGACGGGCTCAATACTTTAGTGACTCGATATCTGACTTCAGTTATGTCATATGATGATTGTTATTGAAATATACAAATTCAAAATCCATTCTCGTATTTGACTTATTTAATTTCGTTATTTATTAGCGCGATGTAAGTCGTTAATCATATACGGGAGTTGCCGGTATGTATATTTCGACAACAAATCATCATACGATTTCATTGGAGTCAGATATAAGGATACTAAATTTTTGAACCCCACTACAAACCTAACGCAGCCTCTCAAACTACGTTGAAGAACCTTCCGCACTCCGTACCTTCGACGAACAGACCCAACATAGCTTACTCAATCGACAACCCCATCGATTATCTCATCAAACCACTACTAAAGTGGTAAGCCCCACTTCGAACTAAACTCACCTTGCAAATCTACGCAGACGGTGAACATCTTGAACTCTACGCATCCGATAAACGAACTAACGGGCTGACTTAATCGACAGGCAACTCAAACGACTCAATCTTTAATCAGACGCATTTGGGGGAGCTGGTACGGCAGCGACATGGACATGCTTGAATCATATTGTCTTATCGGTACTTTGTCCTCGTGTCAACTCTTCTCACTGATCTGTTTGGCGGATCATTCAGTTACGATTAAAGTAATGATCATATTCTGATTATTACATTACTGTCATATTATCACCTAACGTCAAAGTATTGTTGCTGTTTATACTGACATTTATCCAATTATATCGTTCACCCATCAAATTATGATTTTATGAATATTCCATTCGTATTATGACATTTGAGACTCACTGGACTATTTTTATTATTTAATAACGTAAAATTTTCCTGCTTTCGGTGAGCTAGTTCAATTTTTTCGTGTCATTTTTGTCCTATTATTACACTCATTCACATAGTTGGGATCATGTTTATGTTATCATACCAGATATTTTTCATTTCGGTATCGTCTCATATTATGTTTGTGGATGCCTTTAACATCACTAAGTGATGAGTAATGAATTATGTTCATCCTATCTATTCGTTCACATGTATAACTGTATGCTCCAAGATTTGTTACCTATAAACATTTGACTACTGCAATAAATATTCTATTCCCATCGCACTGTATATCAGAGCATAGAGTTTAGAACTGGTCTCTCAAGGGTACAGTCTTGTTAATTCTTTTATTTGAACACAAACACTGGTACAAGAGGGCACCAAATACATATGCGCCATACAATAACAATGAGGCCAGTAGCAGTTATCATTGATGTGCGTGAGTGTTGTGGTACTACCCGGGTGCCCAAACCAAAGCAGGCGGTTTTATTAAAGGTCACACCTAAAGGTCTAATCCACAAGGCAGTGGCCCTAAATCTTACTACAATTAAATCGTATGATGATTTGTTATCGAAATATTCATATCAACGACCCTCGTATATGATTAACGACTTAAACTGCGTTAGTGAATAACGGAATCAGATAAGTCAAATGAGAGAATGAACTTTAAATTCGTATGTTTCATACAATCGTGGATCTGGACAGACAATCAGAGAAACGAAGCAGAGAGAAGAGAGCGAAGCGAGACGGATAGGAGAAGGCATGTGAACCAACTCCATTTAATCAAGCGTTAATCAATATTTATATTCAGACAAGAATAAGTTACAGATATATGATAAATAGGGTAAGTAATTAACCCACATATAGAGGCAGTCAGGATCAATAAGTAACAAGGTCGAAATGTGGATTGAGGAGAATGAATAAATTGGTATGTTTAGAAGCTAGAATAACCTATGTGAGTTTGACATAGTACTAGCCCCTACAAAGTCCCCCTGTATAAATAAAATAGCACATTTATTGGAAAAAATGTGTTTTCGAACTTAACATCGAAGAGGTACGTGGATAACGTTGACAATAAGTAGCGGGAAAAATTTAATGTATCTGATAGAGTACAGCATTGCGTGAGGAGTGATTGTGTAATACAAAAGTATGATACCTATGTAAAAAAGTACATGAATATCATAAGGACGTGGACG